GCCAGTAAGAATGAACTTACACTGTATACTGAGTGTAAGAGATGACTTACACTGTATACTGAGTGTGAGAGGTGACTTTCACTGTATACTGAGTGTAAGAGATGACTTACACTGTATACTGAGTGTGAGAGGTGACTTACACTGTATACTGAGTGTGAGAGGTGACTTACACTGTATACTGAGTGTAAGAGATGACTTACACTGTATACTGAGTGTAAGAGATGACTTACACTGTATACTGAGTGTGAAAGGTGACTTACACTGTATACTGAGTGTGAAAGGTGACTTACACTGTATACTGAGTGTGAGAGGTGACTTACACTGTATACTGAGTGTGAGAGGTGACTTACAATGTATACTGAGTGTGAGAGGTGACTTACACTGTATACTGAGTGTGAGAGGTGACTTACACTGTATACTGTGTGTGAGAGGTGACTTACACTGTATACTGAGTGTGAGAGGTGACTTACACTGTATACTGAGTGTGAGAGGTGACTTACACTGTATACTGAGTGTGAGAGGTCACTTACACTGTATACTGAGTGTGAGAGGTGACTTACACTGTATACTGAGTGTGAGAGGTGACTTACACTGTATACTGAGTGTGAGAGGTGACTTACACTGTATACTGAGTGTGAGAGGTGACTTACACTGTATACTGAGTGTGAGAGGTGACTTACACTGTATACTGAGTGTGAGAGGTGACTTACACTGTATACTGAGTGTGAGAGGGTTGCTACGAGAGGTACCAACAACATTGGTAGCAGCGCAAGTGTAGGTACCAGCATCAGGTCGCTGAACACTCTGTAGCACCAGGTTCCTCCCTCTCACCAGCACTCCAGCACTCTTGTGGTGTCGAACCTCCGTCTCCTGTTATGAAAAAGTATCACACTGTACAACAGGCTTTCGATATAAGGTGTGGCAAGAGAAAGATGTTGCAAGGCAATGTTATTGCGAGACAAATTTTCTTAAGTCAACAAAATGTCCAGAACCCATAATGACTACTACGATTTCTTCTCCGATCTTGGCCATAGCTCGAGGAAAATCCTACGGGATGACTGTTGAGAATGTTGACCTATCCTTGGAGGACTCTGATCTAGGGATAAACACATTTCACGAGGACCTAGGCCAGGGCCTAGTAAATCTACTGAAAAATCCCTGATCAAACGTTCCTATCCCATGGTCGCAGGACTGCCAAACATCTCTGTTTACATGCCCGAGGGACTGACCTTTCGGGAAAAGCAGCGAAGAGATCCTTCCTTGAATTGCCATGAGATATCTGCTCGAGGATATATAATGCTGTGAACATTCGTGAGACCCAGCCACTCACGTCAGGCCAAACTGAGCATTTCTTTCCCCACAACTGTGGGGCGGTGGCCTGGTGGGTAAAGCTCCCGCTTCACACACGGAGGGCCCGGGTTCGATTCCCGGCGGGTGGAAACATTTCGACACGTTTCCTTACACCTATTGTCCTGTTCACCTACCAGCAAATAGGTACCTGGGTGTTAGTCGACTGGTGTGGGTCGCATCCTGGGGGACAAGATTAAGGACCCCAATGGAAATAAGTTAGACAGTCCTCGATGACGCACTGACTTTCTTGGGTTATCCTGGGTGGCTAACCCTCCGGGGTTAAAAATCCGAACGAAATCTTATCCTATCTTGTGTCAGCTGTAACAACCTGATGTCTCTTATGAACAGTGATTAACCTTCAACTGTCGGATACACAGAAAAATAGTCTTAGTGTTCCAAAGAGTTCAATTTCCTAAATCGAATAAGACGACAATCAGTGTTAAAGTTGGTGAAAAAAAAAATATCACTTGACGGCATTGAGGGGACTAGAGCTAGAGTTCGTCACGGCCACGCTAGCGGGAGACTCGTCTGTAAAAACTTGCATTTGTGGTCACAGTGGTGTCAATGCTAACCTTCCTATGGTGTATTAATATACCTATTTGGATGAATCTTATTGTAGTCAGCTGGTCCAGTGGCTAAAGCGTCGGTCTGGAGTTTTATGACTCTGATCGCGGGTTCTAACCCCCCCCCCCCCGTGGAATGATTTACCATCACTTTTTAACAAAAGCGGCTTAACAGCACCAGCGATATTTACATTTAACAATTTACAGAAGCCAAGACATGATTATTTTTCTGTTTACGTCGATTTTAATTGTCTGTTAATGTTTGACATTATGTACACAGTTTCTTATGATGGGTTTAATGGTAAATTACAATAAGTGGACCTCAGTTGTGATTTAAGTTTAAATCAGGTACACAAAGTGAGCAGCCACTTGAATCCTTTATATCAAGTGGTGAAGATAAATGCAGAGTTTCGCACACTGAGTCGTGAAAGCTCGATCCTGTCTGTTAGACACGAGCCAACGATTCGGCAACTGTTTGGGCGAAACGTTGATAAAGAATCGCATTAGGCTGCATTTGTGGCTTTTTTTTACCATCGTCTTGGTATTGTATTTCCAGACTGACAAGTTCCACTCTCCTGGTGGTCCTGCAGGGAAGTTCCACTCTCCTGGTGGTCCTGCAGGGAAGTTCCACTCTCCTGGTGGTCCTGCAGGGAAGTTCCACTCTCCTGGTGGTCCTGCAGGGAAGTTCCACTCTCCTGGTGGTCCTGCAGGGAAGTTCCACTCTCCTGGTGGTCCTGCAGGGAAGTTCCACTCTCCTGGTGGTCCTGCAGGGAAGTTCCACTCTCCTGGTGGTCCTGCAGGGAAGTTCCACTCTCCTGGTGGTCCTGCAGGGAAGTTCCACTCTCCTGGTGGTCCTGCAGGGAAGTTCCACTCTCCTGGTGGTCCTGCAGGGAAGTTCCACTCTCCTGGTGGTCCTGCAGGGAAGTTCCACTCTCCTGGTGGTCCTGCAGGGAAGTTCCACTCTCCTGGTGGTCCTGCAGGGAAGTTCCACTCTCCTGGTGGTCCTGCAGGGAAGTTCCACTCTCCTGGTGGTCCTGCAGGAGAGTTCCACTCTCCTGGTGGTCCTGCAGGAAAGTTCCACTCTCCTGGTGGTCCTGCAGGGAAGTTCCACTCTCCTGGTGGTCCTGCAGGGAAGTTCCACTCTCCTGGTGGTCCTGCAGGGAAGTTCCACTCTCCTGGTGGTCCTGCAGGGAAGTTCCACTCTCCTGGTGGTCCTGCAGGGAAGTTCCACTCTCCCGGTGGTCCTGCAGGGAAGTTCCACTCTCCTGGTGGTCCTGCAGGGAAGTTCCACTCTCCTGGTGGTCCTGCAGGGAAGTTCCACTCTCCTGGTGGTCCTGCAGGGAAGTTCCACTCTCCTGGTGGTCCTGCAGGGAAGTTCCACTCTCCTGGTGGTCCTGCAGGGAAGTTCCACTCTCCTGGTGGTCCTGCAGGGAAGTTCCACTCTCCTGGTGGTCCTGCAGGGAAGTTCCACTCTCCTGGTGGTCCCGCAGGGAAGTCCAATAGCATGACTGAGGATAAAGTCAGTGTGATACCGTCTGAGAAAGCTAAAGTCAGTGTAATAACCGCTGTGAAAGCTAAAGTCAGTGTGATACGCTCTGTGAAAGCTAAAGTCAGTGTGATACCCTCTGTGAAAGCTAAAGTCAGTGTAATACCCTCTGTGAAAGCTAAAGTCAGTGTAATACCCTCTGTGAAAGCTAAAGTCAGTGTAATACCCTCTGTGAAAGCTAAAGTCAATGTAATACCCTCTGTGAAAGCTAAAGTCAGTGTAATACCCTCTGTGAAAGCTAAAGTCAGTGTAATACCCTCTGTGAAAGCTAAAGTCAGTGTAATACCCTATGTGAAAGCTAAAGTCAGTGTAATACCCTATGTGAAAGCTAAAGTCAGTGTAATACCCACTGTGAAAGCTAAAGTCAGTGTAATACCCACTGTGAAAGCTAAAGTCAGTGTAATACCCACTGTGAAAGCTAAAGTCAGTGTAATACCCACTGTGAAAGCTAAAGTCAGTGTGATACCCTCTGTGTAAGCTAAAGTCAGTGTAATACCCTCTGTGAAAGCTAAAGTCAGTGTAATACCCTATGTGAAAGCTAAAGTCAGTGTAACACCCTATGTGAAAGCTAAAGTCAGTGTAATGCCCTCTGTGAAAGCTAAAATCAGTGTAATACCCTCTGTGAAAGCTAATGTCGGTGTAATACCCTCTGTGAAAGCTAATGTCGGTGTAATACCCTCTGTGAAAGCTAAAGTCAGTGTAATACCCTCTGTGAAAGCTAATGTCGGTGTAATACCCTCTGTGAAAGCTAAAGTCCGTGTAATACCTCTGTGAAAGCTAAAGTCAGTGTGATACCGTCTATGAAAGCTAAAGTCAGTGTGGCATCCTTTGTGAAAGCTAAAGTCAGAGTAATACCCTATGTGAAAGCTAAAGTCAGTGTAATACCCTCTGTGAAAGCTAAAGTCAGTGTAATACCCTATGTGAAAGCTAAAGTCAGTGTGATACCCTCTGTGAAAGCTAAAGTCAGTGTGGCATCCTTTGTGAAAGCTAAAGTCAGTGTAATACCCTCTGTAAAAGCTAAAGTCAGTGTGATAACCTCTGAAAGCTAAAGTCAGTGTGATACCCTATGTGAAAGCTAAAGTCAGTGTGATACCCTCTGTGAAAGCTAAAGTCAGTGTGATACCCTCTCTGAAAGCTAAAGTCAGTGTGATACCCTCTGTGAAAGCTAAACTCAGTGTGATACCTTCTCTGAAAGCTAAAGTCTGTGTAATACCCTCTTTGAAAGCTGAAGTCTGTGTGATACCCTCTTTGAAAGCTAAAGCCAGTGTTATACCCTCTTTGAAAGCTAAAGTCATTGTAATACCCTCTGTGAAAGCTAAAGTCAGTGTGATACCCGCTGTGAAATCTAAAGTCAGTGTAATACTCTGTGAAAGCTATAGTCAGTGTAATACCCTCTGTGAAAGCTAAAGTCAGTGTGGCATCCTTTGTGAAAGCTAAAGTCAGTGTGGCATCCTTTGTGAAAGCTAAAGTCAGTGTGGCATCCTTTGTGAAAGCTAAAGTCAGTGTGGCATCCTTTGTGAAAGCTAATGTCGAAGTGAAAGCTAAAGATTAACATCAGATATTCTCATCACATATACACAGAGACATACACTTGTCATGGATTCCAAACTGGTGCTGCATACTCCAGTATGCGGAATTCTCAGGTTTTGCCCGACGCCTTGTATGCTGACAGCAGTTGTCTGATTGATGTGCGCCTCAGGAGTTGTGCTCGGTGTTAGTTACAATCACCTCATGATTCTTTTTTCCGTGTGTGTTGTGTGTGATGTGTGTGTGTGTGTGTTGTGTGTGTTGTGTGTGTGTGTGTGTTGTGTGTGCTGTTGTGTTCAATCTTAGGAAATTAATCAGGTTCAATTCCCAGGCCCACTTGCTGAGTAATTACTCAGTGTGCGGCTCCCCATCACCAAGAGTAACAAAATGGGCTACCTGAAGGCTGTGTGATGTCCGCCCATCAGCCCGGCTGACAGGTGATGCTGCAGTGATCCAGCTGAATGGTTGGTCAGCACACAATATCTGACACTTCAGGAGCACATTCAGGACGAAAGTAAAACTGGTTTATGAAGCATACCAATTTTGACCTATATTAATGAATCCAAACTTGGGATTATCTTTCTGAACATTTTTTAATTATTTTGAGAACCTTCATTTATTAGCTTTTTTATAAACCCTTCGCCGTTTCCCGCCAAGGTAGGTGACCCTAAATTGATGAAACTCTTTCTTCACCTTTCACTCCATACTACTTTGCCTTGAGGCCATGCTTGCAATACAGTTTCAAAACTGCTACATTAAACCCCTCATTCGAGTTCAGGAACACTGTTACTTCCCATCTCCAGGGACTCAAAGTCCCGTTTTGTCGGGGTTTCCCCTTGGATGGCTTCACACTGTTACCTTGCTTCAGTCTCCACAACAGCATGTCAAGTCCTATAAAAACCATTTTCATCTCCACTCGCTACTGTCTAACACGATGGAAGGTCTATGCACTCTTGCATACAAAAACTCCCTTCAACATTCACTTAGACTCGAACATCAACCCGCCCTTCCTTTTACTACAGATTTATATGCACTGATAAGTCAACTATTTTGATCAATCTTTTCGGAATGTCAGAACAACCTCAACGACACTTCCTTAGACCTCTGGATATACTGTTTAAGTCAACCTCCAAACTCACTAATTTCCAAAAAACTATGGAATCTCGGCATTACATGCTCTAAGACATTGCTATTTTCACTGCCTCTAGCCTTCTCCTTGTTCGAACATTCACCACCCATACTTCACCACACCAATAAAAGGATTGTTGGTTATAACTATAATCAACTTACTCAATACTAGGTTAGGCGTTGTCTCCACGACTCCTCGTGCACACTCACCTTTTCCCCTTAATCAATTCGTGGTTCTACATCAGTATTTCACAGACCCATTGCCTGACAAGTCCAACCCTAAATTCTGGATATTTATTTCACTTCCTCCTTATTCTCTTCCTCCAATCTGTTATCCAGTCTTTCCAATACCTAAATTATATCCTATAAACCTTCAAAATTTCCTATAGTCACTTTTAATTTTCATCTTTTACATACCATAACATATTAGTCCACCAACCTTTGCAATCTTCCTTCAGAATCACCCAAAAGCACTGTGTCATAAAAAAAGTAACTATGACATTATTCCCTACTTTGTGTTAGATTCTATATCTTTTAATCCACACCTCTTGCCAATACCAGGAACATTTCACCTCTTTAAACTTCATCAATAATTATTTAAAAAACCACGGTAAACATCACACTTCCTTTGTCTTAGGCATAATTTTACTGGGAAAAATAATCTCCTCTCTCCTACATCTTCTAACCTGAGTCTCACAATCACTCGTTTAAAAATACTATTTTCAATACTTTCAGTATACATACTTCTATTCCATTTATATCTGCCAACATCTGCCACCACTGCCCCCTATCCAACCCTATCATAAGCCTTTTCCAAATCCATAAATACTACAAAAACCTCTTACCCTTTACTCAAAATTCTTTCACCTTATGTTTCACTGTAAGCCACTGGGATCTACACACCCCTTCCTTTGTTAAGTCTCCTTGTTTTATTGCTATCCTACTCTCTGTGCTTACTGTTTAATTCTTTCAATATGACTAACGTACACTTTACACAGAAATTGCTCAGAATTATTTTTTTATTTTTTTAACTCTATCGCGTTTCCCACGCAAAGGTAGGGTGGCCCGAAAGAGGAAAAAATGCTTTCATTTTCATTCCTTTACTGTCTTGCCAGAGGCATACCTTTCACTACAGTTATAAAACTGAACAGTTAACACTCCTCCAAAGTGGGACAACTTGTACTTCCCATCACCAGGAATTCAAGTCATGCCTGCCAGTTTCCTTGAATACCTTCATAAATGTTACCTTGCTTACACTCCAAACAGCAAGTCAAGTCTGAAAACATTTGCCCTCCACTCGCTCCTATCTTAACATGCTCACGCATACTTACTGAACTTCCTTCACCCCCTCCCTCCAACCCATTTCCTAGGATGACCCTACCCGCCTTTCCTTCCATTACAGATTTATTTCACCCTCCAAGTCAGTCTTTTTTCTCTATATCACTTCTAAATTTCCGAACTACACTTCAAACAAAACCCTTTCTCAGCCCCTCGGGGAATACTTTTACTAACCCCGGCACCTCCTTCTATCTCAGCTTACGGGATCTTGCATTAAACATTTCACACTACACATTACCCATTCTGACATGGACACCTCCAGCTATTCCTTGTGTAGCAACATTCACCCACCCATGCTTCACATTCATAAAAGAGCTTTATTTGTTACCAATGCATTCTCCTTTTGCTTCTGTGGTCAACGTCCTTTGTCTCCACGATCCTCAGTGAACACACTCACTGTTTTACCCACTTCAATTCTAAGGGTTCCTTCCGTTCTTTTGACCCTTTATTGAATAGTGCAACTCCCAGTTAATTGAACTCATTCACTTCCTCCACAACCTCTCTCTAACCTGATATCCAATATTCCATTACTTATTTTTTTTTATTCTCTTCACCTTTGTTTTTCCTATATTCACTTTCAATTACATATGTTACACTCCATCCCAAATTCGTCACCAACTTCTGCAAATTCTCTCTCTAAGAATCTTCAAAAGACAGTGTCATCAGCAAATCATCTGTAAAAACTCCCACTTTGGTATTAGCATTCCTATCTTTTATCCCCCACACTTCTTGCCCAACACCAGTGCATTTGCCTCTCTTAAAACCAAATAATAAATATATTTGAACAACCATCGGTAACATCACACTCCGCTGTCTAATGTCCTAATTTACTGGGATATGATCTCCCTCTCCCCTACTTTCCTTACTGAGCCCTCATTATTCTCGAAAGGAAATTCAATCATCTGTTTTCATTAACCTACCACAATATTCAATACACATGCAACATCTCTATCATTGCCTTTCCTATCCCCGTATCATATTGCCTTTTACCTAATTCGTTAACGCAGCGGAAAAGCTCTTTACACTTAATCTATAAACTCTTGTATACTTCACTGTCAAACAATTGGTCTATACCCCTACCTTCCAAATGCCTAATTGTTTATCTGCCATCCTGTTCTGCGTATCTTACTTTTAATCCTTTCAGAGTAATCTACCATACCACTTTACTAGGTATTCTAGAGGGCTTATCTCACTATAATTATTTTTTTTGTCCCCCTTTGCCATTATAGAAAGGAGCAAGCTTGTTCTCTGTCAATCCCCCCTAGATACCTTCTCTTGCTAATAAATTTATTATAATAAGCTGTGAATCATCGACCGGAAACTTTTTTCCTCACCAGCTTTTAGCATTTTTTTTTCTTGATTCCATCTATCCCAGCACTTTCTCCCCAATTTCCTTATAAACCACCAGGTTTCATGTACTTTCCCACTCACACTCATTTCTGCTCTTCGTTATTCTAAAAGATATTTCACCCCCCCTGGCCCCTATGCCACGAAATTACAGCTTCCTTTTCTTCTTCAATATTTAGTAGATACTTAAATTATTCCCTTCATCTCCAATGATACCTCCAACTCTCACATCTAATTACTCTCCTCTCCCTATTTTTAACTGTAATATCCTTTCTTCCTTTGGCATTCCTCAGCTTATTAATCTGACTCTAAAAAAAATCTGATTCTTAGCAAAATTTGTTGAACATCATCTCCACCCTCTCTTTCATTGGCCTCTCCGGTTTAAATTCCTTCAATAAAACTTTTCTTACCTATCTCTTTTCCCTCATCATCCCATTGTACTCTCCCTACTTATAAATTCCATTGTAAACATCCTCTCGTTATGATTACTTTTTACATCTTCAACTCTGTTTTCCTCACATTTCACTAGTTGTCCACTCTTCCATCCCAAAAACCCACCCTCCTCTCATCCAAAACTTCGTTGTGTACACATGAACCTGACATTTTTAAATCTACCGTCATACCTACATTCGAGTTTTGCCAATAATTCATTACCCCCATGTTCTTCCTAATAGTTGCCAATTTCTTTTCATTTTCGTATGTTTTGTTCAAGACTTTTTTCATTAGGTCTGTCTATAATTTATATATTTTACAGGGAACTCTTGGAGATTAGCAGCCTTAAGCATTTTTTGGGCCGGTAAAATTTTACTCAGAATTTTTTTCTAAACCAAAATTTTTAAATAACACCTTTTTATTTAAAATCTCTATTATTATATGGAGAAGGTATATCTAAAATGTTTTTAATGTTAACAGAAAACGAACATTCTTGGTTGAATAGAATTATTTGTCCTTTTCCCAAACAGTAAAATGAATTTTTAGCAATTTTAAAGAATTTATCATTGAAGTGTTTTGGGGTTATTTTAGAACATTAGCTGTTTCATAAATCTTCAAATTTAATTTTTATAAGAACACTGGGTTGCACAATGCACACGTTCTCAAAATCATTGATCAGTTTACGGAAAGTTTAACCTGTCATAATGTGAAGAGCTATAATGTCTCTTAAGGGAAGTTATTTTTTGATTTTCTGTATATTTTAAATTAA